GTGGCATTCCAAGAGTGTACGCACGCTGACAGGTGCTTGTATTATTAACTCAACCATATAAATGAGCTTCGTTGCATATAGCTTGTTTTCGCACGTTTCGGGACACAATTTCAATATCTAAAGCTCTGTGAGCTGGGCGTGGTGGCTCACGCCTGTAAACCCAAGCACTTGAGAGGCAGGGGCAGGCCCATCTCTGTGAGTTCAAGGCCAGCCTGGCCTACAAAGTGAGCTCCAGGACAGCTAGGACTGTTAGACAGAGAAACCCTGTCTCAAAAAAGGAAGGAAGGAAGGAAGGAAGGAAGGAAGGAAGGAAGGAAGGAAGGAAGGAAGGAAGGAAGGAAAAGAAAAAGGAAAGTGTCCTTCTGAATTCTTGAAAATTGAAAACTCCCAGACATGTGTTGTGGGTGGTGGTCCTTTGAACTGACAGCACCTGTCTTTCCTATGATTTATGCTGAGCCCATACTGGACAAGTGTCAGCAGCAGACAGAAGCGTTATTCTTAGTTGATGACGTCTGCCCCAGGCCACCAAGGAAAAGGCTACCTATTCCTATGCATTTCGGTGTCTGAGCTGAGCCTCCTGCTGCCCACACTTTGGAGCTTGGCAGCCTTGGGTCTTTCCCATCCTGCACAACTGCTCCCGCTGGACTGGCTTCTGTCCTGCAGCTGTGGTCAGCTGAACACGGTTTCCCTGAGTTGTGACTGTTCCCTGCTCTCAGACTTTATGGTCGTCCAGGTTCCTTCTAAAGAGGGCACCTGGCAACAACCATCTGAGCCTGGGGAACGTCTCTGCCGATGACCCAGTCAACAGAGGAAGTCACTGTTTCTGTAAGACTTATGTCTTAGGGTTTCTATTGCTGTGAAGAGACACCATGGCCATAGCAACTCTTACAAAGGAAAACATTTAATGGAGGGGCTGGCTTATAGTTCAGAGGTTTAGCCTATTATCTCCACGGCGACATGCAGGCAGACATGGTGCTGGAGAAGGAGCTGAGAGTTCTGTATCTTGATCCACAGGCATCAGGAGACTGTGTGCCACACTGGGCATAGCTTGAGCATACAAGACCTCAAAGCCCTCCTCCACGAGTGACACACTTCCTCCAACAAGGCCACACCTCCTCATAGTGCCACTTCCTATGGGCCAAGCATTCAAACACGTGAGTCGTTGGGAGCCATACCTATTCAAACCACCACAGTTTGTAACTGGGTTTGAGGCTGGGGGAAGCCAGGAGCTTGTCCTCTGGATAGAAGAGCCAGCCTCGTTTCACAGGGCCACCCGGCTTATCTTTTACGTAAGCTTCAGCCTCCTCTTCCCCAGCAGCTGGTCTTTCTTCTCGGCAGAGCATCACGGCTTCTGTTGCCTTGCGGTTTCCAGCTGTCCTATTCCTTCCTTTCGGGAATGTCCCAAGCTCTGTCTCCTCCTCTGAAACACTGTCTATTTTTACCTAACTTGACACCCTTCCTTCACCATGTCATAGGAGCCAACTTCTAGTCCGAAATTTATCCAGAAGTCAAGAACGGTTTTGCTCTCTTTTAAGTGGTTGTGAGAAAATGAAAAACAATATTTCATAGCAAATGAAATTTATATACAACTACAATCTTGTTGCCCTAAAAAAAAATGTTAGATCCCAGGGCTTTTTTAGATCCCATTGAGCCTAGGATATAAATGACACCGAATTAATTTATTTAAATTTCTGCATGCCAGCATGCTTTCTACAACAGCTTATCCAGGTATTCATACCTAAGCAATTTTTTTTTTTGCATTCCTGTCCCAACCATGTTCTCCATAATCTGTTTGCAGTGGATGGATGTACAAGTTGTACATTGTGTTGCTCTGTTCACCTCCAGATTCTACCGTGAAAGCAGAGAGCACCATAACGTGTGTGTGTGTGTGTGTGTGTGTGTGTGTGTGTGTGAATGAGTGTTGTTACAGGGTCTTGCTCGTGTAGTGCAGGCCAACGTCCAATTCCCTTTGTAGCCAGAGATGACTTGGAGCCTCTCTTCCTCCCGCCTCCACCTCTGGTCCCTGGGATTTTATGTGCATTTCCCCCTCACACTCAGGTTTTGCCGTGCTGAGTATGGAGCCCAGCATGACAGACAAGCACTCAACCAACTGGGTTCTCTCCTCAGCCCCTCCCATAATGTTTTCTTGAAATATATGCATAGCTATTGTTTTCCTCTTTTCCCACGGCTGCTTTTGACCTACAAGGGGAGAACTGAGTTTGTGAAACAGATTTTAAGGGACAGCAAAACCAAAACAATTTCCTTTCTGGCCTTTACAATAAATATTTGATGACCTTTAATATCAAAGAGTTCTGAAGGATTTGAAATTTGTTCACAGTAAGAAAAAAATCAAGTCGGATGGTGGTGGCGCACGCTTTTAATCCCAGCACTCCAGAGGCGGAGGCAGGTGGATCTCTGTGAGTTAGAGGCCAGCCTGGTCTACAGAGTAAATCCCAGGACAGCCAAGGCTATTCAGAGAAACCTTGTCTCAAAACAAACAGACAAAAAAAAACAAAAAAAAAAAAAAAAAAAAAAAAAAAAAAAACTAACAAGTCCATTGGTTCCCAAGATACAAATTAAGAACTGCAACAGATAAGAGAAGGCTCACGTCAAAAGGTCCACGAATCAGAGAGAAGATTGGGCACATGAACCAGATTTTGAACTAAACACTCTGTGCTAAGTAAAACTCCTCTCTTTCTCCTGGAAGGTGGCAACACTGCAGAGGTGGTGCCAGATGCACAAGCAGGGTGACCTTCCCTGGCTCACACAGCCAGCTCTGGACAAAACCAGGATTAGGCTCAACACTGTGATCTTGACTGGGTGCCGCTTTATGGTAGAGTGTGGATGACCCTGGGTTCTACTCTAGGCAAAACAAAACCCCTCACAACCACACTCTTTTCTCTTACGGTGCTGGGGACGAACCCTGGCCCTTGCGCATGCTCGCTAGGTAAGCACGCTGCCACTCAGCTCCACCTGCAGCCTCTTTATTAATCACGACCGAAGCTCGTGGAGGCTTCTTATCTCCCTAAACCTCTCAGTGCCTGTGGGATACATGCAAGTGACCGCTATAAAACAAAAACAACCACCAAGAAAACCAAAACCATAATTATAAACATTTTTGCTCGCCGTTGAGCTACGCAGAGTGCCGAGCCTACTTTTGTTGACTATCTATCTGCAAGGCAAATGTTGCAGGCGCTGTTCCCAAGAACATTTGAGTGCAGCCTCCGTCTGGCACAACACACCTTACTGGTCCAGCTTAAGAACTCCACTCCTCCCATTGATTGTTAGGGTTCTCATTCCTGTGATCAAACACTTGACAAGAGCAACCTAAGGGAGGCGGGGATTTAAGAAGAGAGGTCACCCATCTTGGTGGGGAAGGCAAGGCTACCAAAGCTGGCTACTATTGTAGAATATTGTTTTAAGGTGTGTTTCTCTTGTTTATGCTGGGCAACATTTGTTTTAATGATGTAAACTTGTGTTGCTTTTGTTTATGTTGCATTTGCTGAACTCTGTAAAGTTGGGATTCTTTGCCTGTCTAAAACACCTGGTGGTCTAATAAAGAGCTGAACGGTCAATATCAAGGCAGGAGAAAGAATAGGCGGGGCTGGCAGGCAGGGAAGGAAAACTCTGAGGGTAGCCGAGCAAGGAGAGAAGGTTAGCTACTTGAGAGTGGGCCTCTGGGGTAGAGTTCTAGATAAAGTTCCCCTCAGTGGCTTTGAGAGAGCCACAGAATCCCGCGGGCTGCTGTGGCCCTTATGTCCTAACTGCTGCTGGTAGAAGCAGAGCTGTAGCTGGGGATCAGGACAGCAGTTGCTTAAGGGACAGCCACTGACCTGGGTGAAAACCAGCAGCTTACAGTGTGTCCTCAGTAGTCTGGGGCAGACTGCAGGCTGCAAGTATGGCAGGGTCATAAAACTTCAAGGCTCCACCTTTCGTGACCCACTTCCACCTCCCGAAAATTCCAGACTCTTCCAAAACAGCCTTTCTACCTGAGAACCAAGCGTTGAAACACTTCAGTCTGTGAGGGATGTAACAGACACATCCGACCCATGGCCTTGCCTTCCCTAGACTCCCCAAACACCAAGCTCTTGATGAGCAGAGCCGCAGTCTTAGGCTGCAGTGCCTCCCTCCCATAAACTGTTTCCGTGCTGATAGAAATGAAGTTCTTTGGGTCTCCACACACATCATCAGCTTCCAAGTGTAGACCTGAGTGATCTCTGCCCAGATCCGGGATTCCTGTTTATGTCTCTCATTTCATTGATTACTTTCATTGTTTTCCATTCTGAAGGCTGATGCTAGCTACCCCTGCCTGGAGTCATCATCCGCTAGAGCTGTCCCGTCTCGTCATTTTCTCAGTTTTCTAATAGCTTCTAACACATTTAGGGTATTTTCACTCTCATTTAAGAAGCCGTAGATGTAAAGCAAATCCCCCCAGGTCTGAAGGCTAGCCCTTGCCCGTATGTCATGGATGAGGAACTTTAGAATTGAAATGTGTCTTTCTTGAATTAATTACAAACACAGCAGCTTCGTGGAAGCATTGAAGGTCCAGTTGGAAGGCAGCCTGGGAGTGTGGAGAGTTCGTTTGCTTGGACTCTGAACAAAGAACCAATCTTTATGAGACTCCCTTTCCCCATCTTAAATGGGGTGGGGGTGGGGGGTTAGAGCCTACCTTTACCAGCTGTTAATAAGGATTCTTTGACTTAACCCATTTGAACAGCTGATAATCATACCTAGGAACATTAGAAAGTGCCATAGCATTTACTCCACAATTGAAATGAAGGCATCTCAGAGTTCAATCCCCAGGACCTTGCAAACTGGGCTGAGACACCTGAGACACCTCTCACACACATATACATGAGAGGGAGGGAGGGAGAGAGGGAGGGAGGGAGGGAGGGAGAGAGGGAGAGAGAGAGAGAGAGAGAGAGAGAGAGAGAGAGAGAGAGAGAGAGAGAGAGAGAGAGAGAGAAGGTTATAACAAACTTTCTTTCTGTCTCTTTAAGGTCCAGACTACATCAAAGACCACTTGCCTAAAATCCACCAGCATACCGCCTACATAGGAGAAAAGCGTCCAGCGCTAGAGAAAACTGGAGATCTCAGATATTTATTGAGATCTGCCCCAGACCGAAGCCTGCCAGCAAAATATAAACACGAGTATGTTGGTGGAATTGGCTGGGGGATACCAGAGTACAGTTTCATCAACAGATCGAGACTGGGGAGCGGCTTTCACATCAAGGTACCGCTCTTAATTTCAGTCTTCAGAGGCTCCCGCGTTCTGATTTGAGCTGATTCACTGCGAGTTTGCCTCGTAGGTAATGTCAGGCCCTTAGTCACACTGAGAAGCATGTAAGCTCTGCAGGAAGAAACTGCTGGTGTTGGTGATAAACGTACTTATTCCACCACGGCCTTTAGCCCGGTAGACGAGAAGGGAGGCACAAAGACAGTGCACCGACAGAGCGCATCTCTGCGCAGCAATGGGAATGTCCAAGGGCCACATGTGTGCGGGGGCCTCTGCACATGTTCCCCGTGCTGGCTCTGCTCAGTGAGTGGGCCGTGTCAGGGAAGAAGGTGGTGTTGAATCTCAATCTGCAGAGCAAAAAGCCACCAAGTGTCAGATCTTGAATGTCACTGTGCTGAGTGTGCTGTGGCAGCAACCAGGGCTCTGCAGTCTAGAAGCCCTGTCTTGTTTCCTTTGGATGCTGTGGGCCGAGGCAGGTGCCCACACGGTCATCTCAAAATAGAAAGAAGTGGAAGTGGCTTTAGAAGCGGGGTCTGAGAAGGCCAGTGTATTTACAGACGGGCTTTAGCACCTTCTATATGCGGGCGATACAGATAGCATCACCCAGTGGGTACGTTTCCAGGTTTCCTCAAATTGTTTTTTGAAATTTGTGTGTGTGATGAGTGTGTGTGATGTGTGTATGTGGTGTGTGGGGGGGTGATGTGTGTGCAGTGTGATGTGTGGTGTGTGTGTGTGTTGCACAGAGACTGGTCTTGGGCAGAGGCTTTAAGCCATGGTGCTTTCTGTTAACCCTTTCTTGGTCCTGCTGTCTTAACAGTAATCCTTTTCACATAGGTCCACCTATCTCTCGAAACAATCTTAAACAGCTTCCTCTTTTGCCTTATCATATTTTGTCTTCATAGTTTATTTTATTTTTTTCGATTGTTTGTTTTTCAAGACAGGGTTTCTCAGTAACTATGGAACCTGTCCTGGAACTTGCTCTGTAGACCAGACTGGCCTTGAACTTACAGAGATCTGCCTGCCCTTGCACGAGGAGTCCACAGGCATTGTTAGGAGGGTTTATGAGAAATGATCAAACAAGCAAAGCCCACCAATATCAAAACTATCCAACTAATAAGACATTTTTATAAGGATACATTATAGAAATAGTTAGCAAATATGCCCTGGAGCACGGTGAACATTAACAAATACATTGTAACTGATAGAATGCCCCAGCCCTAGAAGACAATCTTACTGTTACTACTCCCGTCGGCAGTGAGCCACGTCTGTCTCCCCATTCCTGTAAGATGCCTGACCAGCTCCACGGCTTCACACATTTGCACCCCAAAGGAAGCTTGATGCCCCTCCCTGCTGTGCTATAAACAGTCTAGACAGGTGAGGCCAGCCTTTGCTCTCTAAGAGAAAAAGTTTAAGACCCGACTTTATATAGGCAATGGATAAATATTAAAAAATGAATACTTAATAACAATTGTCATTCCCCCACCCACATTCTCCAGAGCTCCTAACAAGAAAGCAATAATAAGGGGCCGGAGAAATGGCTCAGTGGATAGGAGCATTGCCTGCTCTTCCAAAGGTCCTGAGTTCAATTCCCGGCAACCAAATGGTGGCTCACAACCATCTGTAAAGAGGTCTGGTGCCCTCTTCTGGCTGCAGACATGCACACAGACAGAGTATTGTATGTATAATAAATAAAT